TTTAAAAAAATCTAATTCTTTTTTATTGGGGGCTTCAGAGTAGACATTATCATAAAAGGTATATTTTTTTTTCGAAATATATATAGCAAGAGTTATGATGGTTTACTTAGAAAACTCCAGGGAATCAGCATAGATACTAATTTTGACAATTAATAGCTTCAGCACCATGGCATGCTACAAAACAATTCCTTAAAAATCAACAGCATTTCTATAAAATAATAATGAAGCACAAGAAGCAATAATAGAAGTGTAAGTCCCATTCCAGATACCTACAAAATTCATAAAAGATCTGGAGATCAGCCTCCCAAAGCACACAAAAGACTTACATAGATTCATTTACAAAGTACTCCTTGAAGAAATAAAGAACCTAAATAGCAGAAGGCATATTCAGTGCTCATGGCTAGGCTGTGCCAATATAATAAAAATGAAAGTATCACTCAAATTAATTTATACTTTTAATGCTATACCAGTCAGATTACCAAGGGGATACTTTATAGAGCTGGATAAAATAACAGCATTCATTTGGGAAAACAAGAGATCTAGAATACCAAGAGAGGAGATGAAAAGAAGTACAGGCAAAAAGAGTATAGTACTTATAGACCCCAAACTATATTATAAAGCAGGAGTCATCACAACCATCTGGTATTGGCTAAATAATAGAGAGGTAGGTCAGTGTAGCAAACCAGACAAGGGTGACGCAGAAACAATAGAACTCAATAATCCAGTGTTTGATAAAGTTAAAAACATATGTCACCTAGGAAAAAAAATTTCTATTCGATAAAAACTGCGGGGAAAACTGTAAAGCAGTCTGGTAGAAATTAGGCCTAGACCAACATCTTACACCACAGTACAGTCTAAATGGATATATGACCCTAATATTAAAGGTCATACCCTAAAAAAATTAGGAGAGAAACAGATCATATTCCTCTCACAGCTATGGATTAGAGCTGTATTCTTAACTAAATGAGATAAAGGCAGTTATAAAAAATAAAATAGATAACTTTACTTGAAACTGAAGGGCTTCTGCACAGATAACATTACTTCATCTAGGATAAGAAGAGAAGTGGTTGAATGGGGAAAAAAATATTTGTATCAGATTTCTCTGAAAATGGTTTGGCATATAAGATATATAAAAAATGCACACATATAAATTATTCATATGTCTTGTATTCCCATATATATGAATATATATCCTTATAGACATATATATGTATACAAAAATGTGTGTATGTATGTGTGTATATATAATATATTGTGTCTATGTGTTTATATATGTACACATATACATATCTACACATATATACATATATGCATACACACGTTACTAATAATTGTTCCCAACTAGATGAATGGTCAAAAGACCTGAACAAACAGTTCTCAAAAGAAGAAGTGCAAAGTATTCACAGCCACATGAAAAATGTTCCAGATGGCTAATAATAAGAGAAATGCAAATCAAAACAGCTCTGAGGTTTCACCTCCTGCAAACTGGCACAAATTATGAGAAATGGAAGCAGTAAATGTTGGAGGGGATATGAAAGATAACCATACTAATTCATTGTTGGTGGAACTGTGAAGCAGTGCCACCTTTGTGGAAAGCAATTTGGAATTATGCAAATAAAGTGACTGAAATGGCTATGCCCTTTGAAACAAAGACTCCATTTCTGGGCTTATTTCCCAAGGAAGTAATTAATAAGGAAAAAGTCCCCATATACTCAAAAATATAGCAGCACTTTTTGTGATACCTAAGAATTGGAAAAAAAGTAGATGCCCATAATTTGGGGAATTGCTTAACAAATTGTGGTAAGAAATGTGTGTGATGAATACCGAGAAGTGTGGAGAAATCTATATTAACTGATGCAGACTGAAATAAGCATTGCCATGAAAACCATGTATGTAGTGACCTTTTGTTCATGGTTGATTCATTTGTTTCAGTTGTGCCTGACTCTTTGTGAGTCCATTTGGGGTTTTCTTGGCGATGGTCCTTGAGTTGTTTGCCATGTCCTTCTCCAGCTCATTTTATAGTTGAGGAAACTGAGGCAAACAGGGTCAAGTGTCTTGCCCAGGTTCACATATCTCATAAGTGTTTAAGGCCAGATTTGAACTCAGGAAAAGGAGTCTTCCCGACTCCAGGCCTGGAACTCTATTCTCTTCACCACCCAGCTGCCCTTACATAGTAACTACAATGGTGTAAATGGAAAGAACAACGACTTACCAAAAAATCAAAAATAAATGTTACAAAATTATAAAGATCAAGCAGGACTGGAAGAAAATTTACCCCCAACCTACCCTTTTGTGGAGGTGGGAGGTCCACAGGTATTACATACTGAACATGTTTTTGGACTTTTTCAATGTATTGGTCAGTTGTGCTGACTTTTTACTATTTGTCATATGGGATGACTCTCTGGGAGAGGGAGGGGGAGGTGTACATGGGATCCTTTGACAATGTAAGAAACATAAGATATCAACACTTATTTTAAAAAAATGCACAGCAAGTCATAAAAACCATGATATTTCAAGTGCTGAATTTACTCTAAGTGGAGGTAAGACTGACATGGCCAGTGCCTGTTGGAGAGCAGTGTGATGTTATTACTTTCAGCTATACTTGGATGGGGTTGGGAAAACTGGATTGGCAAAGATCTCAGCCATTGAGACCTACCCAAAGGAAATCTTAGTAACAAACAGCATGGAGGGCCTCAGATTTGCCCTTCAACGTCTAAGTACATGTTCTCCCGGCTTTTACTCGAACTTGTGGGTTGGGTCCCTTTGGTGGCTGCTACCTTAGGTTCTAGGAGTAACCTGTAAATGACTGCTTCTACTAGTTGTGGCTCAGTGATGTGCTTCCCATTAACAATCAGGCAGTAGACTCAAATAGCTTTTATCAGAGAAATTTGCTCATAAGGCATGGCAAATATAACATTTACAAAACATTTCTCCCTGCCCCAAACCTGAGATGTGTTCTCCCATAAATATATACAGCATCCATGGGGAGAGTGAGCTCAAACTTAGAATGTGATGGTGGTGAGACATACATGTAGGATGCACATGTGTCAGAGGCACCTGACAACAGTTAATATTGTAAGGCTTGGAAGTATTTATTCTTTTCATATTATCCTCACGCTGGGTTCCTGGTGTCCAATCCTCCTCGAAGTCTGAGTCTCTTCTCTGCTTTGAAGGATCACTTTCCTGGAATTTGCTCCCTCCCTAGGTGATTGTATCTCTGTCTCCATCTGTGTGTGTGTGTGTGTGTGTGTCTGTGTGTATGTGTGCGCAAGTGCATATCTGTTTCCTGCCACTCCTACCCTTTGATGTTGGTTTAAGGTGTCCTTCATAACTGCTCCCAACTCTTGAACTCTTCATACATAGTTTATCTGCTTCATAGTTAGAGACTTGACTTATTGAGGTGGGGAAGGTGGAGACAGAAATAAATCCCCTCCTCTTCCCCACAGGGCTTATACTTTACAAACGTTGAGAGTCTCAACTACTCTTCTAGGTTTAACTATTTAAAACCCCAGAGGTATGGCTAATTTGTTTTCTTAGCTAGTCTGTTGTTTCTTTTTTGACTTATTCAAAGAAATGTTCTCATCTGTTAAAGGGTTGGAGGTGTAAATGGATTTCTCCATTCAGTCAAACAGTTTGTTAATGTTATGTGATTACATTCCAACCCCTCTGACTGGAAGCATACTACAGTCCCTAGGACCCTGGGCTTTGATAGCTAAGTCCTCACCTTGTCTTACCTGTAACCAGGCTCTAATGTTACTTCCTAGACATTTCCAGTCCATACCAGCTTCACTGTCTCCCCTCCTCACACTAGAACTATTAATTCTGCCCCCTGGGCCTTTGATATGTAGATTAGGTGAGTTCATACTTTGTCTTGCTCAGAACCAAGCTACCATGCCCATGACTTGCCTTTGATTAGAGTCAGAATTTGAATCTAGATCTTTACTTTATCCAAATCCAGCACTCTCAATGTCATTGCTGGTATTCTCTTCTGATACTTTCATGGAGCCTTCAGTATTGTGGTCCCTCACAGTGATGCTTTCTCATCTCTTTACAAAACCTTTAAAACATTTAACCTTGGTCAATTAAGAAGCATTTATTCAGCTCCTCCTATGTGCCACATCCTGTGCTAAGCACTATAAATTTAGTGGGCTAAGAAGACAGAAATAAAGGCCTTACCCTCAAAGAGCTCACATTCTAATGGGGGAGACAATATGCAAATAACTGTCTGTACAGCATAGATAGCAATATAAACGGAAGATGATCTCGCCAGGAAGGCTATTGTAGTGGGACAGATTTCCTGTAGAAGGTGGAATTTGAGCTGAGTCTCGAAAGAAGTCAGGAGATTTAGGGGTTTGAGTGGAGGGGGAAGAACATTCTAGGCCTGGGAGACAGCCAGTGGAGATGAATGGAATTTGGAGATCCAGAAGGCCAGTGTAGCTGGTTTGTGAAGTATGTGGAGCAGAGGAAGGCGTCAGAAGACTAAAAGAGGTAGGAGGGGGCAGGTGCTTAATAGGACTTCGTATGTAATCATGGAGATAATAGGGAACCACTGAAGTTGGAGGGTTTGTGTAGAGATGACACGGTTAGACCAGCACTTTAGGAACTGTTTGAGTTTGTTTCATGAGTAAATTTTTTGAACACTATATGAAGGTAGATTAAAAAAATCTTTATTTTGAGAAGTGACTTTAAATTTATTTTGACTGAATTACAATACATTGATGTCACAACGATATTGTAATTTGTTTTGATAATTTTTTATGTACTTATAAGTAAGACTTGCATTTGAATTTAAAACATTGTTAATCAGGAACCCATTTTTATCCCACCAGAATATAAATAGTAGTTGCTTAATATATGTAGTGCATGTTGAATAAAAGTAGAAGAGGATAGCTTCTCTAACTTAGAAACTATAAATCATTTCTTTTCAACCACTCTTTACTTCTTGGCATTATGTTTAATGGATTTTTTGGTTTCCTTTCTGTTTTTTAAATTAAAAATAGGATGACCATGAAAGTTGTGGCTCTAGTTCAACTAACAGAAGTGCTACTGAGAACACAAAATCATCAGTGAAACCTAGACGAATTCAGCAAGCTACTCCTACGGACCCTGACTTACCACCAGGTAACTCAGAATGGAATTTTTGAAAGTGCAGGAAAACTGAATATACTTAAGTATCTTTAATAATGAGACAGTTTTTTGGAGGATTTGATGAATCTGTCATCTTATGAATGCAGATATTCCCTCCATTAGGGCAGTTCCCTACCCTTCCTGGCTTAACTACTCACTGCCTTTCAACTTTCCCCACTCCCCTCCACTTCTCTAGTCCAGTCTGTTGCCAAGGCCTTTTGATTTCATCTCTGTAACATCTCTAGAATATTCCTTTCCTTTCACATTGCCACCACCCTGGTGTAGGCCTTCATCACCTATGCCTGTTGTTTGCTGGTGGGTCTTTCTGCCCTAATTCTCTCCTTACTCCTATCCAATAAGTCAATCAGTAAAGATTTATTAAGCATGTCCTACATTCCAGGAACTGTGTTGAGTGCTGGGGATATAAAAAGAGTCAAAAGATAGTCCCTGACCTTAGGGAGTTCACAATCTAATGGAGGAGACAACATGCAAACAAATATATACAAAGCAAGCTATATTGGATAAAAAGGAAATAATTAACGGAAGGAAGGCACTGGAACTCAGAGGATTTGGCAAAGGTTTCACGTAGAATGTAGGATTTTAGTTAGGAGGAAAAACATTCCAAGTATAGGGGACAGTCAGAGAAAATGCCCAGAGCTGAGAGATGAAGAGTTTTGTTCATGGAATAACCAAGATGCCAGTGTCACTGGATCAAAGATTACATGTCAGGGAGTAAGATATAAGAAGACTGAAAAGATAAGAGTGGAGCTAGGTTGTGAAGGACTTGGAATGCCAAACAGAGCATTTTATATTTAGTCCTAAATTTATTGAGTAGGAGGGTGACATGATTGACCTGTGCTATAAGAGAATCACTTTAGTGACTAAATGCAGAATGGATTGGAATGGGGAGAGAACTGAGGCAGGCAGACTTGTTAGCAGGCTATTACAGTAATCCATATGTGAGGTGATGAGAGTTTGCAGTACAGTGGTGGCAGTGTCAGAGGAGAAAAGAGGACATATCTGAGAGTTGTTGAAGAGGTGAAATTGATAGGCCTTGTCAATAGATGGGATATGGAGAGGTAAGAGATAATGAGGAGTTGAGAATAGCTCCTAGGTTACGAGTCTCAGGGACTGGGAGGATGGTGTTGCCTATAAAATGGAAAAGGTAGGAGTAGGGGGATGGCACAAAGATAAAGATAACAAGGTCTGTTTTGAACATGTTAAGTTTAAGATATTTACCGGATATCCAATTTGAGATGTGTGAAAGGCCATTGGAGATTCAAGATTGGAGGTAAGCACAGAATTTGGGGCAGAATAATAATAGGTAGTTTGAAAATCATCAGTATAGAGATGGTAATTAAATGCATAGTAACTGATGAAATCACCAAGTGAAGTATTTTAGTGGGAGGAGGGAAGATTGTCCAGAACAGAGGGCTGTGGGACACCTACAGTTAGTAGGCATGATCTGAATGAAGATCCAGCAAGGGAGACTGAAGAGGAGTGGTCAAGTAGATAGGAAAACCAGGAGAGAGTGGTGTCCTGAAGACCTAGAGAAGAGAATATCAGGAAGGAGAGAGTGATCAGCAGTGTCAAAGGCTACAGAGAGATCAAGGAGAATGAGGAATGAGAAAAGACCATTGAATTTGGAAATTAAGAAATCATTAGTAGCTTTGGAGAGAGCCGTTTCAATGGAATGATAAAATCAGAAGTTGGATTGTAAGGAGAGAGAGAGAGAAGAGAAAGTGGAGGCACCTTCCGTAGACAGCCTTTGCAAGGAGTTTAATTACAAAGGGCAGAAGAGATATAGGACAATAGTTAGCAGGGATGGAAGGATCAAGTAAAGGTTGAAAGGGAAAGCCAGTAGAAAGGGAAAGATTGAAAATAAGTGGTAGAGAGGGGTTGGCACAAGGGTAGGAGTTGGAGGAGATGGGGTAGAATGAGATTGCTTGTGGAGATAGAGGGTTAGCCTTGGTAAGAAGTAAGGCCACTTCTCCATGTGAGACAGAGGTAAAGGGGGAGATAAAGGTAGAAGGCGTCTGAGTGATAGGAGATGGTATTGAATGGTGGGAGTGATCCGTGGCTGATCTATCCTCCACTAAAGTGATTGTCCTAAAGTACAGTCCCAACTTTGTCACCTCTTACTCAGTAAATTTCAGTGGTTCCCTCTTTTCTCAGGATCAAATACAAGTGTTATCCAGATCCAGTGCTCTCTTCATTGAGCCATTGAGCCACCTAGCTGCCTCCAGTAAGTATCTGAGGCAGGATTTGAGATCAGGGATTCCTGACTTCAGTTCCAGTGTTTTAACCACAGCACCACTTAGCTGCCTGATTCTTGCTACCTTATTTTTAAATCTTTTTTTTTTTTTAACAGTGTCCTGTAGGTAGTAGGTATTTAACTGTTTAAGCATTGGATTGAATTGTTTTGGTTTAAATCTTCACTTAAAAGAAGTTTTTAAATTTTCATATTTAAATATCAAAAAATACCTCTTATACTTAATCTACCATATTTAGAAAATATTAATTTATTGATTCTTTTAGTGTTGTTGGGCAGTAGGCATGTAAAGTTTTGTAATTTCTTATAGTTGGAAAGACCTAAAAGTGAAAGTAATTTCTTTTTAATTAAAATTTTTTTTATTTTCAGTTCCAAATTTTCTCCCTCTCTACCCCCTCCCTCATCTACTCAGAAGGCAAGAAATATGATACACGTTATACATATCATGCAAAACATATTTCCACATTAGCCATGTTATGAAAAAGAAAAAGCAAGAAAAATAAAGGAATTGGAAAAAAATTCTTCAGTCTGTACTTACATGCCATCAGTTCTCTCTCTCTCTCTGTAGGTGGATAACTTTCTTTATTACGAGTCCTTTGGACTTGTCATTGTCTTGATCAGAGTAGCTAAGACTTTTACAGTTGATTACAATATTGCTATTAATATGTACAGAGTTCTCCTAGTTCTGCTCACTTAACTTTGCATTAATTCATGTGAGTCTTTCCAGGTTGACATTAATTTCCTAAAGTCACAAATGAACCAGTGGTAGAACAGAGAATAACATATACAATCCTATACAAACATATACAGAAAATAACATATACAATCCTAGACTTGAGTACTTTATTTATACCCTGAAATAATCTTCACATTCTCCTGTTTAATTTTTAAAATGAAACAAGTTTCAGTCCGGATACACATAATCATCAATATTTATTTTGTCTCTATCTTCAGCTTAATATTATGAAGAGAAACCTATTTATTCATTTAATCAATCAATAAATATTTAAGTGTCTACTTTTTACCAGTGCAAGACTTCTCCCCAATGCCTACCTTTTTGGTTACTTTGAGAAATAATTCATTCATTATTCATAATTCATAATAATTATAATAATTCATAAATTATTCACCTCATCTTCTAAGTTTTAAAATGAGAGGGTTCTACTAAATGACCTCCAAAGTTTCTATCAACTCTATAGTTCTGTTTATTTTAATTTTAATTTTTATTTATTTATCTTTGTTAGGCAGTTGAGGTTAAGTGACTTGCCTAGAGTCACACAGTTAGTAAGTATCAAGTGATCAAGTGTCTGAGGGGAGATTTGACTGACTCCAGAGCCGGTGCTCTATCCACTGCGCCACCTAGCGGCTCCTCTGTTTTGTTTTGTTTTTTTAAATTAATTTATATTCACTTGGTATCTAGGAATTGTTATCCCACAAGTCAAATGTTCTTTTTAATTTTTTACATTCTCTAATTCCTTACAATAAGATTTGACCGTCTTACTTTTTTATTTATACAGTTTTCTATTCCTTAACTTTTTAAAAACTCTATCTGCTTTTTCCTCTTTTTTTAAGTAAGGGGATTAGGAAACTAAATCTTAGATAATTTAATATCAGTCAGTACTTCACTACTTCCAGTAGAATGTAAACTCCTGAGGTCAGAGACATAAATCTTTCTTACATTGAATTATTAAATTGGATTAATTATTTCAACAGTGCAGGTATTTAGAGTAATACAGATTGTAGCTCATCCTTAACTTTTTTTTAAATTTAATTTAATTCTTTTTTGGTTACATTTTAAGTTCTGAACTTTCTCCCTCCCTCCCTTCCCACCCTATACTAGAGAAAGCCACCATTTGACATAAATATCCATATATACATAAATACATATATACGTGTGTGTGTCCTATGCTATGCATAATTCTATTTATCAGTTATTGTTCTGGAAATGGTTAGCATCTTCCTTCATAGGTCCTTTTGTAGTTGATTTGAGTATTTATAATACCCAGAATAACTTAGTTGTTCACAATTCTTCGAACAGTCTTGCTGTTACTGTATACAATGTTCTCTTTGTTACCGTATACAACCTTCTCTTGGTTCTGCTCATTTCACTCTTCATTGTTTCGTGCAAGTCTTTCCATGTTTTTCTAAAATCAACCTGCTTTTTGTTTCTTATACCACAATGGTAGTCTTCCATCACAATCATATATCACAACTTGTTTAGCCATTTCCCAGTTGATGGACATCCCCTCAGTTTCTAGTTCTTTGCCACTACAAAGAGAGCTGCTATAAATATTTTAGAAGGTAAAGGTTTTTTCCTCTGAAACTAATAATCTTGGGAAACAGATGTAATAGTGGTATTGCTGGGTGAAAGGGTGTACACATTTTTATAACTCTTTGGTCATAATTTCAGATTGCTCTCTAAAATGGTTACATCAGTTCACAGTTCCACCAACAGTATATTAGTGTCCTGATTTTTCCACATCCCCTCCAACATTTATTATTTTCCGCTTTGATCATTTTAGCCAATCTGATAGGTGTGAGATGATGTCTCAAAGTTGGTTTAATTTGTATTTCTCTAATCAGTAATGATTTAGAGCATTTTTTATGTGCTATATATAGTTTGATTTCTTCATCTGATAAGTGCCTCTTCATATCCTTTGATCATTTCTCAATTGGGGAATGACTTATATTGTTATAAATTTGACAAAGTTCCCTGTATATT